CCACCATAGATAGCAGGACCTGTGCTAATCACCTCACATGCACCTTCTTCACCTTGGAAGCATTGTTTTTTGTTCTAAGTATGAAACTTAGGCTCAGAGAGGGAAAGTCATTTGCTAAGGTCACAGAGAGAGGAGGTAGTTAGAACGAGCATTCAACCACCAGTCTGTCTGGCCTCTTGTTTTTCTTTTCTGCATTGCCCAACCAATAGTGGCTCTGTGTCTTGAGGGTTTCAGAACCTAAGCCTGGGGAAGGGAAAGATGCAGAGCACCAACAGAAAATCAAGAGAGGAAACACATCAAAATCCATGATTAGACTGTGCAACATCTACTTCCTGTGCCCTGGGTAGGGCTACCCTGGTCAGGTAGTTACCCAGCTCACAGCCCCCATTACCAGAGGACCATATAATGTCCAAACTCAGACACATTTTGAGAGTGAAGGGGAGTGTTTCAAATAATTGCAGGAGTTAATTAATCTGCACCAGGAACAAAGCAGAACTGTTCCATGGGAAGTAGGATATGAGATCACCCTAGTCGATTCCATTCTTGGCTGTCCTACTGTCTCCCCACAGGTGGGCCAACACTGTGGCTTATACTTGTCACACCTAAAAATCTGAGTTGCCTGAGCAAATGTGCTACATCTCCAGGGACCTGAGCAGTCACAGTGTCATGCTCTGTAACAGCATCCAGTCCTGCTCAGCTGCTGGCTCATTCAACTTCATGCTCCAGCTATACCAACAGGACTTCTTTGGACTTTGCCTTGAGTACCTGTCCTTTAAGGTTACTTCCTGTTTCCAAGACCTGTCTCAGTTACTAGCACTCATCCAGTTCTTCCCCTCAGGGCCCATCTAGTGGTCCAAGCTCTATTCCTGCACACAGACACCCTTTGACCCATAGTATCACTTAACCTGGATTTCTCATCACTACCTCTACCAAAGTAAAAGCATTCCCCATAGGCCCTAAGTTCCTCAGTGCCCAAACTGAACTTCTCCTTGCATTCAACTTGACCTTTGTGACCACACCTTCAGAAATTAAATTCTTCCTTACTGGACTGGACTGACCCTTAGTGGGCCAGTGCCTCCCACCATGAGGCAGGCTCTACCCAGTGAGCTCTGCCCAGCAGCAGTTAATGAGGCTAGCCAGGCTCCTGCCTTTCTCTCTTCAAATTCCAGAAGGACTCAAGGAAGTACTTAGTTCAGGAAAATGTCCTCCAAATGGGTCTGAGGACAACTGCACATCTGCCCTCCTGTACATTTGACCACCTGGCTTCTACACCCAGCCTTATAGACATTCCTCATACTGATTGTCCCCACCCTATAAACCAGTGCTACACCTTGGCCACAGAGATGCTGCAGTAGAACTATTTGTACCCTAACAGATCTAGGATGAAATTCAGATGACACAATGTGTCTGTTATGTGGTGAGAACAAGCCGCTTACTTCTCTGAAACACTCTGTGCCTCCTGATTTATCAGATCCCTTACTGACCTTGTTGTGAGGTTAATCACATTCTGAGTAGTGCCTGGCATAGCATCTGATACAAATAATTGTTCAATAGTAGGTAGTTACTGCTGTAGTGATAGGCTTGGGAGCATTTATACCATAATGAGGTGTATAACCTTGGATAGTAGTTTTCCATAAATCATAGTTCTGAGGACACTGGTAAATAATGGCACCATTTATATCATCTATAGTCATGCCTTAGTTTTATTGACTCAGTGTACAGCCTTGGATAAAATGCTTAAGGACATAAACAACACACACAAGTGCTTTGAAAGGAAACAAAGCACATCTTAGCATTATCACTATGTCACACAGAGATGGCAGCTCAGACATAGGACTCCTCCTTCCTCTAGTCACAGTGGGAAGAAACTCTAGTCCCCAAATGGAAACTTCACAAGGATGCCCATCTCATTTGCTCCAGGGGCGATGCCTGAAATATCTTGAGAGCATTAATTTCCTGGCGGTGCCTTTCATCTTCACAGAGGCACTGTGCTGCATTTAGCAGCATGGACAGGGAATCCTCAGGGCTTTTCAGGCATTAGAAATCTACTCTCCTACTCCATTCTGACAGAAGACTTTCCCTGGTCTACCAGCTGGAAATCCCTCTTTCAGGGCCACTCTCAGGAGAGGAACACATCTCCCCTGCACGGCCACTGTGCTAAGGAGCAGGGGTGCACTGCTTTCTACCAAATCACCCAAGACCAACAGAAACCAAGCTGATGCTGCCACAGGAGTAAAAAAGGTGAGTCAAGAAGAAGAGGGTGCTGGTCATTTGTAGGTGGAACTGAGGGAAGGTCTAGGGGAGTTTTCTTCCCTGGCTTCCCCAAGAATGGGCTGAGGACCCCCACCCTAGTCTCTCCCATTCACTGGGAGAGGGGAGACGGGTGCGTCTGCCTGCACTGAACAGGAGTGGGATCTCCAGTACCCTTTCCAGACTTGCACACACCCTTCTCAGGAGCACCCTCCCACCCCTGGTGGGCTCCTGATGAGGCATCTTCTCTGTTCTTCTCTACTAGAATTAGAGAGGCTGTGAAGGGACAGGAAGGCTAGGGCAGATGGAGAAAGGAGGGTGGATGTATGAATATGGCATTTTCCTGGTGTGAGGTTTTGCTTAATCGTTGTTTTCATGGGTGCCTTTGAGAGAGGCAGTAGACATGGTTGGTAAGATCCCGGCAGGTCTATGCAGCCAGAAACCCAAGAGTTCGGCCTGGTCCTGCAACATAAAGCTTAGTGGAAAGCAGAACAGAATTTGGTGCTAAAGCAGAGAAAACTAGCACTAGGCCATAGCTCCACAAGCAGTCTTTCAATCCCTACTAGATCCTGTGGAGAGATCTAAATAGGACAGCCTCTGCCTACCATGTGGCTGGGAGGGAAGGTAATACAAGATTAGGCTGGTGGGTAAGGAGGAAACCCCAATATGGGTGCCAGGAAGATACTGGGATGAGCAGAAACAGAGAGATTATGGAAGGTGTTTGAGCAGATAAATCCTTAAGGGAAGGGAGGTGGAGATAGTGAGTGGCAGATACTGAGAGAGTCAGGCAGCTTAAAAGGTCTTCCACTCAGAGAGGAGGCCAGCCCCGATACCCAGACTGGGATCTTTCTGTGATTGTGCTGTTAGCATCATGGCTCTGCTGTCTCAGAGGTCTTGGGGAGTCCCACAGACTTGAAAAGTTGTTAGAAATGCCTTCAATTCCAGTCTAAGGAGGCATGGGAAGGGCATGAGAGATGAAACAGTACCTGCTGATGGGTGCACCAGGGAGGGAGGCCACTGAAAAAGTCCAGGGTGGGGGTGTGAACTGGTGGATGGGAGGCTGCGAACAGCCCTTATCATCCTGGTCAGGGTTTGCCATTTGCACTGCTCACCAGCACTGATTTTTTCAGAGTTTTTCCTCTCAATATCTAATACTCTGAGCATCCCTAGTTCTCCTCTTCCCTTCACAAGCACTTCTGATCTGGGACATTTTTCTCCTTCATCCAACTCTTGATGTTCTCTAAAGCTCAGCACAAAAAGATCACACTACCCTCTTTTGCCCATGCAGCCTCAGGCAACTTTTCCATCTTCCAGACCTTCACCATCATCCTGCAACACCAGTCCCCAAAGTCATGTTTTTAACCCTGTCCTCTGGAACCTCAGAAAATGCCACAACGGCTCCTCTCCCCTCATTCCACTCTTCCTTCCACTCATCTTCCCATTACCCAAATTGCTACCACTTACTGAGGAATCTTGGTAAACCACATGATTTTCATGCACTCTCCACTATGGAGGAGGCATTACAGATGGCAAACACCAGACTCTGAGAGGCTAAGTGACTGGGGAGTAGGTAAAAAGGCTGCAAGACTCAGGTGTGTTGACCTGAATCTGCACTGAATCTCTCTATTTTCCTACACTCTGGTCTCACGTCTCCATCTCCAAAGCAAGTCTCCCACCAACACAGTCCTGATCAGCAGACAGCTCAGCTCCCCATGGTGCTCATGGTAACTGCTGCGATCATAGATGTCCAGCCTGGCATCAAAATAGCAGAGCCAGAAGGATCCTTTGCAGTGGTCAAGTCCAACAGCTTCACTTCAAAATAGGGCTGTTAAGTTTGCAGAGGGTTACCTATGGAGTTACCCAAGATTGTACAGCTAAATTAGGTCAGGATCAGAATCAGAGCTCTGCTCTTCTGATTTCCAGACTTCTTCCACTCATACTAACCCCCTTTTTGTATCAAAATGTCTCGACATACAGAATTTCATTTGCTCCTCACTATTACTCTGTGCCACAGATGTTTCACCTCAATGTAACGGACAGGGAGACTGTAGCCCATGGAGGTGAAGGGACTTGCCCAAAGTCACATAGCTGGGTAAGTGAACACTGTGGGACATTTAGGAAGGGCTACAGGTAGCATTTTGGGGAGCAGTCACCCTCTCTGCTGCTTAGGGCTGTGAGGTCTCCTCTCTGCTTCCCAGCCTGTCTGCTATTCTGTCATCAATGCAATGCCTCCCCTTTTTTTCTCTACAGCTTCAGCTCCCTTGGGATTTTGAGTTACCACTTCACCAGTTCTGGCTTGAGAGTATCCCAAGCACCTACAGCCCACTCACACAGGCTCTCAGTGTCACCATTTTAAATCCTCAGCAGGAGTGTGTTTGGGGTAAGTGTACAACCTTGGTACAATTTGACAGGGGCCAGGGTTGGCTGGGTGCCCTGTTACAAACATGGCTACCAGATGCCTTGCCTTCTCTGGGTGAGAATAGTGTCCAGAAAAAGGGCCTGTGGGCCGTCGGATAGCCTATATTCTATTACAGGTGTCACTCCAGATCTCCTGACTTACTCCCCAGTGCCAGAGCTGCCCTAGCTTCCTTTCCATTTTCATCCAACTCAACAAAGGTTTGTCCACCTCTGTGCAACTTTCTGTGCAAGGTGCTGTGTGTGTGACTCAGCTTCTGTCAATTGTGTCCTCCCTCCCACAAGGCCAAGGACAGAACCAGGAAGTCCTGTTTGTCTTTAATAAGCAGATCATCATGCAGAGTCTTGGCAAGAAGAACCACAGCTCTGTGTCTGAGTTCCTTCTCCTTGGCTTCTCCAGTGAGTTGCATGTCAGAACCGCCCTGTTCACTTTCTTCCTCCTTCTCTACATCATCACCCTTCTGGGCAATGGACTCATCATCACCCTGATCTACCTGGATTCACACCTCCACACACCCATGTACTTCTTCCTCAGCATCCTCTCCTTGGTGGACATAAGCTATGTCACCACCACTGTGCCCCAAATGTTGGTTAATATGGTGTGTCCAAGGAGGATGATCTCCTGGGGAGCTTGTGTAGCCCAGATGTTCATTTTCTTGGTCCTGGGTATTGCTGAGTGTGTCCTCTATGCCGTTATGGCCTACGACAGGTATGTGGCCATTTGCTTCCCCCTCCACTATACCCTACTCATGAGCCGTGCCATTTGTATCAAGATGGTCACAGTCTGTTGGCTCATCACCATAGCTGGGGCTCTTATCTACAGTATCTTCACCATGCGTCTGCCTTATTGTGGTCCCTACAAGATAAACCACTTCTTTTGTGAGGTCCCTGCTGTCCTGAAGCTGGCCTGTGCAGACACCTCCTTCAATGACCAGTTGGATTTCGTCTTGGGTTTCATCCTTCTTTTGGTGCCACTGTCCCTCATCCTGGCCTCTTATGTCCGCACCTTTGCCTCCATCTTGAGGATCTGCTCATCCCAGGGGAGGTTCAAGTCCTTCTACACCTGTATTACCCATGTCACTGTGGTCACCATGTTCTATGGACCATGCATGATCATGTACATGAGACCTGGCTCCTGGTTCGACCCAGAGCGGGACAAGAAGTTAGCCCTGTTCTACAACGTTGTCTCTGCCTTCCTCAACCCCATCATCTGCAGCCTCTGGAACAAGGATGTAAAGGGAGCCTTTCTGAAGGTATTTGGTGGTAGAGGGAAAGCTCAGTGACCCAGGATGTTTCAGAGTTGTCATGAGTCCTGAGCAGACTATATGGGTCTCGTGTGGTTTCATAAAAACACATCAGTTTGCATCAACCTGAGGCTTCCTGGGGTTGTGAGCCAGTGAGAGAGGGTGTGGCCACCCGTAAACTGAAGGTCTCCCCATTGGTTGGAATATTTTCAGCAGCTACCACCCAATGACTCAGTTAAGTATTGAAAGCAAAGAAATTTTACTATAAAAACTATATCCTGCCATATGGCTCAAGGTCATTGCTTTATTGCTCTTCCTGGGTTCTTTCCTCACCTTTATAAGTTCATGTCAATGCAATGTCATCACAGCCAAATGTTCAACATGTACATGTTCTTTTCCACAGTTTAAAGGATTTAGGGATGGAAATGACATAAAGAGTATGTAGGTTGTGCAGAAAGACAGCCATGCACTTACAAATAGTATTTAGTATTGCCCTTTGCATTAGATGCTCTAAAGTCTAAGCTTCAATTATTTTAGACACAGCTGTATAACAGTATAGCTAATAATTGATCTTGTCTGGACTCAAGTTGTGAAACTGGCTGTGTCCTGGTTTTACATTTTAAATTTCACTTTGATTTTGAGAAAATAAATATATATTTCATAGAATAAAAATATGTGTTTATATATATCTGTATATCATTATATATTACCTATATGCATATATGTCTCTCTCCACAGAAGAGACACATAGAGATTATAGAAAATTTTATAATAAAGACTCCATTTTTCCATCCAAAATGAACACTTAGTAATATTTTGCTATATTTAGTCTTTTTTAAAGGATTAAATCATTACAGAGAAAACTGAAATGTTCTTTGAATATTCTCAACTCCCCCGAATCAATCATTGATTTAACTGAAGTTTATTCAGTGTATTTTTCAGTTTTTGCTGCACACAATCATATGGATAAATGATATAATGAATGATTCTTGCATAAATTTATTTTTTTAATGCTGGCATGATATCAATATCACATTTCTAACATCTACCTACTTGAGAATTATAGGCCTAGTGTGTTCCCTTTGAATACACCACATTATAGTTATCTGCTATTGAACATTCCTTTATTCCCAATTCTTCACTATTTATTTATGTACTTTTAATGTATTTTATTGATTATGCTATTACAGTTGTCCCATTTCCCCCTTCTCTCCCCTCCACCCTGTACCCCCTCTTCCACCCACGTTCCCCCCTTTAGTTCATGTCCATGTGTCATACTTATGAGTTCTTTAGCTTCTACATTTCCCGTACTATTCTTGCCCTCCCCCTATCTATTTCCAACCTACATTCTATGCTACTTATTCTGTATACCTTTTCCCCCTCTCTCCTCCTCCCACTCCCCTGCTGCTAGCACTCCATGTGCCCTCCATTTCTGTGGTTCTGTTCCTGTTCTAGTTGTTTACTTAGTTTCTTTTGGTTTTGCTTTAGGTGTGGTTGTTCATAATTGTGAGTTTGCTGTCCTTTTACTATACATGTCTTTTCTTTATCTTCTTTTCTTAGATAAGTCCCTTTAGCATTTCATAAAATAAGGGCTTGGTGATGATGAACTCCTTTAACTTGACCTAATCTGAAAAGCACTTTATCTTCCCTTCCATTCTAAATGAGAGCTTTGCTGGATAGAGCAATCTGGGATGTAGGTCCTTGTCTTTCATGACTTGGAATATTTCTTTCCAGCCCCTTCTTGCCTGTAAGGTCTCTTTGGAGAAATCAGCTGACAGTCTGATGGGAACTCCTTTGTAGGTTACTGTCCCCTTATATCTTGCTGCTTCTAGGATTCTCTCCTTCGTTTTTACCTTGGCTAATGTAATTATGATGTGCCTTGGTGTGTTTCTTCTTGGGTCCAACTTCTTTGGGGCTCTCTGAGCTTCTTGGATTTCTTGGAAGACCGTTCCTTTTGCCAGATTGGGGAAGTTCTCCTTTATTATTTGTTCAAATACGTGCTCAATCTGTTGCTTTTCTCCTTCCCATTCTGGTACCCCTATAATTCAGATGTTAGAACATTTAAAGGTGTCCTGGATGCTCTTAAGCTTTTCCTCGATTTTTTGAATTCTTATTTCATCATGCTTTCCTGCTTGGTTGATTCTATCTTCCTTCTGGTCCACTGTATTGTTTTGAGACTCAGATTCCTTCCTTTCACTATTGGCTCTCCTCTGCGTATCTCATCTCTTTTATGGTAACCTGCATCCTTTCATCTAAATTGCGCCCAAAATCATCCAATTCCATGAGCTTTCTGATCACCAGTGTTTTGAACTGTGCATCTGATAGATTGGCTATTTCTTAGTCACTCAAAAGGATGAGTCCTGGGGCACTGATCTGTTCTGTTGGAAACATGTCTTATGTCTTTCCCTGTGTCTCCTTTTTTTTCTTTTCAGTCTGGTTGCTCTTGTTAGGGTGGGGAGCGGAGCCTTAGGTGTTCACCGGGGCTGGACACCCCGGTCGCTAGATTGTGACGTTAACGTGGGGGTGGGGGCGGGGGCGGGAGCAGGAGGGAACAATGGCGGTAGTTCCATTCTCCTGGGCTCAGACCCTTCTTTGGGATCCTGGGCTGTGAGCTCTGCCCTGGTCCACAAGCGTTGTCTCATTGGTTCCGCCAGCCGCAGCTTGCATACTCAGGGATCACCACTGCGTTCTTGTGCCCTGGATGGCTGTTGCGCCGATTTCGCGCCAAATTTTCCCCAACCTCCGGGCGTCACTGACCCGCGCCAGCCCCGCACCCACCCGGCTCGTCGTCTCCTACCAGTCTCTATGTACGGGTCTATTTCAACTTCTTAGCTGTCCAACTTCCATTCAGATAAATTCTCTATCAGTTCTGAGTGATATTCCATCTGTAAATTATTGTTGTTCTAATCTTGGTTGTGCAAGGAGGTAAGGTGCGTCCACCTATTCCCCCATCTTGCCGGAAGTCCAATTCTTCACTATTTAAATAATTCTGCAATGACGTCTTTGGACATTTCTCTGTATAGAAGTATTTTTCCAGGATTGATGGATATGTGGACTTTGTATATTATAAAACCAACGTATTTAAATTTACCAGATACTCCTGAATTGTTCTTTGAAGTAGTTATACCCTCTACACCTTTCATTCCCATCAACACTTGATGTTGTTCATGTATCTCAAACATCTTAATGTTCTTAGGTATTGCATAGATGGAAAGTGGCAACATTGCTTTTTGTTTCATTAGTAATTCCCTACTTGCTAGTGAATGTAACATCTTTTCATGAGATTGTTGATAGCATTGTGAATTGAGTGTAGGCGGTTCTGAAGTCAGACTTCTGTGTTCTTTTTTTTTCAATTCTTGAATTTATTGGGGGTGACACTGGTTAACAAAATTATACAGGTTTCAGGTGTGTGTACAAGTCTATAATACATCACCTGTACACTGTATTGTGTGTTGGTGAACACACAATAGTCAAGTGTACACCCACCACTATTTATCATCCTTAGACAGACTTCTGTGTTTTTCCCAGCTCTACCTACCCTTTACTAGCTCAGTGGTGATGAGCAAGTTACATCACTTCTCAGTGTTTCAGTTTCCTCTCTGGTAATGGAGAGAAAATACTATGCAGTGCAGAGTTGTTGGAAAGATTAAATAAGATAATAATGTGCTGAATTTATAATAACAGCATTCATCATGGTGAATAACAAATGATGTGCTCAATCATATAAGACGTTGTTTTCCCTTTCTTGATTTGTAGTTTGTTAAATATATTTCGGGTATTAATTCTTTATCTATTACATGCATTGAACATGTTATATCTTCTTTTAGTTTATTATTTGCTTTCTTTATTGCAAAAGTCAGAGGCAAACAAAAAGAAGAAAATGACAATCATTCATTACCTCTGACCTAGAGATAAGTACTGTTAACATTTTAGTCTCTATATTTCAGGTTTCACAAATTTTCATTGCTTTAATTAATATTTTTGAAGCTATAATATAATTCTTAAATTACTATTTGTTTTCATAATTTTTAAAATTGAATTATTCAGTATGTATTCTTCTGTAACTCAAATTAATAAGTCAACAATAGGTTTTGACATGTATCTATGTTGATTTGGTTTTACTGCTGAAGAACATTCTTTCCACTTTCTTGTGATAAACAGACTAAAACAACAACTTAATAAATGGAATTCAAATGGCTTATGAATTTTTTCTTTAGAATTTTTCCTAAGTGAACATAGGTCAAAAATTTCACTGATCTCATTAATTCATGAAGGAACCAGTAAGATATTAGGACTGGTTCAAGAAAGAATTTGACTTACAGAAATTTATGTTTTCTACTGAACATTTGCATTGTAATGAATATGAATCATGCACATTACTGTGGACAGGAATCTTTTGCATAGCTATCAGTTTTCTATACCTTCACAGCTACACCTGCAGAGCTGTAACACATCCTAGTCCATGAAAGGTCATTTAAAGGAGTACACCCCTATAAAGTCAGATAATCCTTGGAGCATCTGCTAGACAATACCAAGAGGACACCAAGAAATCTCTTCTGCCTTTTTGCAAGTCTTAGATGATGTTTTTTGGACAACACCCACCCTTTCTATCTTCAATAATCTTCAAAGATTATTCCTAATCACAAAACACAACAGGATGAATAAAAAAGAAATCCACAGATGTTTGCCCCATGGAGAATCTTCACAACAGTATAGTTAAAGAGACAATTCTAAATGTAGCAAAGGAGGGGCTAAAGGACAGATTTTCTTTAAAGAGCTAATGACAGTCAGCATTGTTTTGAAAAGCAACAATGGAAAGGTGCTAAAGGAAAACAGCTAATTCATGTACATTTTTTTTGCCAAAATAAGATTATTTTAAAAGTCATTTGAAAGTCACTAAGACGCTATGGATGTAGATTTCAAATTCATATTCTGTCCAAACCCCACCAATGGTCTCTGTTATGCCAAAAGTTGATTTCTTTGGTAATTCCTATTTTTAGCTTCCTGGAGAAAAGATATTTTTGCATAGCCTCCTTCTC